TTTGTATGATGATTACCTCTTGTACAGACATGCCATTGAGATTTCCAAGAATGTGCTCTTCTTTAAGAGCAGAGTCTAAGGATCCATAGACCTCAGGGTCAAGTTTGCTCAAGGGAGGGAAAACTGCGAGCCTCTCAACGGTCACGGGATTAATACCCGCAATCACTTGCCTACCAAATTCATCGTCTCGCAGCCATGCCAACTTATCCTCTGCACAATGAATTGCATTTCGGTACACCATAACAAATGTATGTCAAATTGGTAGGAAAGAATGGGAGAGGAAGGGGGAGAATTAATTACTTGAGATGATCTTAGGAATGTCGAACTTAAGAAGATCTCCATCTTTGAACTTGGTGACGATTCTCGGAAGTTTGAACTTGTTAAAGACATCGTCCTTAATCCCGAGCTTCAGAAGGAGCCCTTCGCTATAAAGCTTGTCGATGTCTTGGTACCCTTTGATGTCAATGTTCTTCTCCGAGATTTTCGCCTGCAATCCCGGGAGCAAGTTGTGAAGCACGGCCTTAAGCCTTCCCGTGGAGAACGCGTCCCGCTTGGATTCCTCAAACTGCTCATCTCTCGGCACGTACATTGGCGATGGCTTCTCCAATCTACTCTCCGCATTTATATCTTTATTTGAATAAACAAAAAGAAACCATGTCAATATACACGACAAAAAAACACATTTTTCAATTAGCCCCAGCGTTCTAGATAACGGTTTCTTTAAAATTGGCTCAGATTAACTCTAAAAACACTAACACCACGGAACGGCAACTGACCAGTATCCGTGGGAGGGCGTCCGGTACGACAGCGCCGGGGATAAGGAGTGTCTTTGCCGCCGAGCACGGGGCGAGCGAAGTCGATGCCCTTATCGGGGTTCCCGAGGTCATTGTAAACGTCGAAGTCGTATATCCTGTCGGACAATCGCCTTGCTCGGGTTCCATCGCCCCTCAAGTCCCGGAGCTCTTTCTCCCTCAATGCCTTCAGGCCCGGAGGCGTGTCGTCGGGCAGGTAGGGCTGGTTGGAGAAGAAGATCCTGGGGAGGGGGTGGGTCTTGGAGGACTGGACCCAGGAATTGCAGGGGAAGTGGAGGGGGCCGGGGTCATGGAACCCCTGGAGGGTGATGCTCTCCAAGAAGAACTCTTGCTGGTGCTTGTTAATGACGCTTATTGCCCCTGGGATCCCGAAATTGGAGTCCACTGTGAACTCTGCTGTGTAATTTACTCTCTCTGTTTTCAGCTTTGACTTCTTTGTCCAGTCCTTCAGCACTACCTTGCTGCTTCTCTTTGCCTCCTTTGTTTCTGTTTTTTTTTGTAAACAAAACAAATTAAATAAACACCCATAATTACACCGACGAGTAAAAATAAGCTAAATTTGCACTTGGATATTATTCTTCTCACTAGTCATTATTAAGTCCTATTTAGGGAATAAAAAAACTTTAAATCCTACATTGGGAATCGATTTATGTTTTAGTACTATTCAATGCAAATTTCACTAAGAAATAAGGTTAAAACGTAAATAGTATTAAAATATATAACTTTTTCTAATATAGTACATAAAACTTTTTATTTCCTAAATAATATTTGAATAATGTTCAGTGGTGAGAACAATCTCCAATAACAGTAGATATTTACTTTGAACAATATCCAGTGATAGTAAACAATTATTTGAACAATGTCTAGTGGACATTCAACACACTTAGAAATGAAAAGTCTCATCCAAAGAGCATATCCCACACCTCAAAAGTCAAAGTCGAATATGATGTCTATTCTTTGTGGTGGTACCCAATATCTCATTACGGTACCACAAAAAAAAACTGTTTACCGTTAGATTTTTTTTTGTGTGAAACTGCTGTTATGCACTTTCATTTTTTTATAAATTTAACTTCAAATAAATACTCCCTCTGTTTAAATATAATTTTTTGTTTGTTTTTTCACTATTCCTAATTTCAAATTTAGACCATTAATATCGATATTTACATAGAGGTATATTTTTAAATAAAGTTAATAATGCAAAACTACATTTCAAAAAAACAATTAATATTATATTTATATCAAAACACAATATACTTTTTTTTCACAAATTAAAGTCAAAGTTTACAAACTTTGATCAAGAAAAGCCAAATTGAAAAATTATATAGAAAAAATAAATATTTTATATATATAACATGTAAATCAAACTATATTAAATTTATGAATTGTGTTTCTATAACCCTAAGATCACATGTAAAACTTGTATCTTCTCCTTTCATTTTGACTTTACAAAAAACCATAAAGTACGTACGATTAGAATTAGTTAAGAGAGAGTTCTTTAGCCATAATGTATTTACTTAAAAAGGAAAGAGAAGCTCTTTTAGAAGGGACAAAAGAGAAAATTAAAAAATTATGAGTGGGACGAGTAAAATGTAGGGTGGTGATCAACCATGCTACAGTACACTAAAAAGTGTGTCTCAAGTTGTATCTCAAAGAAATGCATCGACATTTGAATGGTTCGCACTAGTACAAAATGTTAGTTCATTTTAAAAAAAACTTACACTGACATTTTTTGTCAATGTAAACGATCACACTAGCACTAAATGTCAGTGCATGCCTTTGGGGTACAAAATAGAATACAAATTTGGTGTACAAACAGCTTAATCCTTAAATGATATGGAGTATTTTTTGGTGTACAAATTTGGTGTACAAATAGCTTAATCCTTAAAATTTTGATTATAAATTACAGAAAAAGTATATTAAATTAAAATATAAATTTAATATCAATATGTTCATTTCAATATATAATTTTAAAGTATTATGGAGCATATCTTTATAATATGTATCTATCTGTAAATAAAAATATTATAATCAAAATAATTTTATCTCGGGGTAAATAACATAAAAAAAAATTGAGGGAAGAGGTAATAAGAGAGTGGGAAAGGAGCACTCCCGGAAGAAATAGGGAAAAAGAGAAGGGTAAAAAGAAAAGTTACTGACTGGAGTCAATTTGGGAGCTGCTGATGAGCTGAAGCACGACATTTCTGCCGAGGCTCTCCGACAAGTTATCCAGATGCTTCACCAGAGTTTCCTTAAAGTCTTCGTAGTCTTTGTTCCTCACCGTCACCACCGCTCTCACCTCCACCTTCGCCGCCGCTTTCTCCGGCACCACCACTCTCGCCCCCATCTGGTCGCTGCTCACGGCCGCCGCCGCGATCCCTCTCGCCAGAAAACCCCTTCTCCTCATCGGAACCCGGTTCAATCCCGACCGGGAGTCGAGATCCCGGACCCGGTTCCGCGAACTCGGGAATGGAGCGGCCGGTCTGGCAGACATCGAGACCGCCGGCAGTTTATTTTGCAGAGACATGTTTGATTTGAGGGGAGAGAGAGAGAGAAGGGGGGGAATTAATTAAAGAGGGTTTAGGTTAAGTTCAAAAGGTTAGTTGCATTGTGGAATTGAGAGAAACAGAGGTTTAATTTATATATACTCTGATCTCTGACTGGCCAGAAAGTTATGACTTCACCGTCCACACGCTATTGTTCTTGCTTCTTTCATTTTCTTTTGGATAAAGCTATTTCTACCCTAAATTTTTGTACTCCATTTTAGCCACGGTAGGTTTGCATCGATATTTTGTCTTGGTGTAAAATTAATTTTTGATAACGCATCAACACTTTGTCTCCGTGTAAATTTTTGTTAACGCACCAACATTTGTGCCGGTATAAACAATCAAAATGTTTGTGTATAACTACAGTGTACAAATGGGGTACAATTTTTGGTGTGAGTGGTGAATTGCCCTTTTCTTTTTCATTTTATGTTGTGGTGATTGATACACAAGAATATTTGAGGTCATTATCCCGTTCCACAAAAAATTATACAAAAATTTGATAATGTTATTGAGAAAAGTGATACTTCTTGTTTCAAAAATATTGTCTCATTTCAAACAAAAGTAAATAGAAGTTATCGTGATATATTCTTGATATTTGAAAGCTACTCTACTTCGTATAATCTAACATTTAAGAACCATATGTGGAAAATAATATTTAGCTCAAAAGAATCTTTGCATAAATAGTTCTTCATAACAAGGGATTTTTCATATATATAGTTACATTCCTAATTCTAAGTTATTACATTTGTGGTTCTCGATATTTTAGAACTTTTTTATAATCAATGCTTTAAGAGTGTATGTGGCGAACAATGTTTGAGTGTAAGAAATGATAATGGAATGGTTCTCAAATACAGAAGACCGCGAACGTAATATTTTAGAATTAATGATCATATATGGAAAACCCCCATTATGAACGATGACCATTTATAAGACTTAGGGATCTCAATGGATCGGGTTTGGATCAGGTGGAGTTCAACATTTATCTACCCATTGACCCCACATTTCTCACACGATCAATCCATTTTCAGTTACATACATTTTCATCGTCTAATACATCCAACACGTGTAGATGAAACATGTGTAAAAGAGTGATATTGATTTCCATCGTCTAAGATCTTCCTGTTTATTATTATGGCCTCTCAATAACTCTTATTTGTTTGCATGTTTTTATAGATCATGTGCAAAATATGTAAAAGAGTGATATTGATTTCTATCGTCTAAAATCTTCCTGTTTATTATTACGGCCTCGCAATAACTCTTATTTGTTTGCGTGTTTTTATTTATCATTTGATAAAATTAAATATTCTTCTCACTTTTTGGTTTGTAGAATTCTTTATGTATTCCGTAGTTTTTAAATATGATTTTTTTTAGTAATTTGTAAATAAAATCATTTTAAAAATCACAGAGGAAGTAATTTTTATCAAAACCTTAAAATTACTCTCTCCGTCCCATTTAAAATTGCATGATATCTTTTTTTTGTCTGTCCCAAAATAAGTTGCATGTTGTTGAGTGTGAAAACAGGAAGCTAGGTGGAAGCTAACAGGAAATTGGCAGGAAACTACCTAGAAGCTTCTAACTTCCCTAATCATTGTGCTCTCCTAATTATTCTCTATTTAAGAGATGCTAATGTGCTTGTAATTGTGGTGCAACAACAAATAATAAAATCCTCCTAGTTGCCCCGTGTGGAGTAGGTTGCAGTTGGCGACCGAACCATGTTAAATCCTGTATCATTTATTTTTCTACAGTTGATTCGTGATTGTGTGTTGTTTCCGCCTGCATTTATTCCCAACAAGTGGTATCGGAGCTTTGGTTCGGCAACACCGGAAATCCGATTAGCAGAAACTAATCAGAGAAGAGTGTCACCTGAAGAACCCTGTGCAGTAGCAGGAGCCTGTGTTTGGGCCGCTGCCGCCGGAGCACCATCATCCCCGTCGATCCACGGAGAGCTTCCGCGCTTGAATCGGGAAAGCTGCAGCTGGCAGTGAGTCACGAGTAGACTCACCGTTGCCGCCTTCGATCGCGTAGCCCAGAACCGTCGTAGAAGAGCAGCTCTGGTCTGTCCAGCCATTGCTTCTGGCCACACGCAGAAGAGCCACCGCCTTGTGGTCGTGCAACAAGAAGAGAGACCGCTGCCGCCGTCGATCTCCCTGGTCGACCGCCGCTGGAGATCTGCTGAGTTCGTCGTTGATTGCCGCTGTCTAGAGAGGGTGCAACGGGACCAGGAGCCAGAGCGCCATTGTTGTTTCTAAAAAAAATCCAGCCGCCGGGAGAGGAGATTCCCGTCAGCCGCTGGTTGTGACCCACGCACAGATTCGCCGGAAGACACAGGAGCAGCCGACAGAGATCTCAGTCGTCCGGTCACTGTCGAGTTCGCCGCTGGGTCTTGAACCGCAGAGAGGAACTGCCCCCGCAGTGAAGAGGGGCGAAGCTGTCGCGTCTGACCAGCGCCCAACCCAGCGCCGCCGTGTGTTGCTGTCTCCATCGCCCAATTGCCACTGAAATTGCACAGTAGCCGAAAAAAAGTGGAATGCTTTTGCTTGGCAGGTAGTGTGTGATTGATTGAATTTGGTGGGTGAGTGGGATAAAGAGAGATTTGGGTGGATTTTGATGTGAAGTGTTGGGCAGTGGGTGATTTTTTAGGGTGGGGTTAAATTTTTGTGTCCTAGATATTTTATCTGATAAAAATATCAAGATCTGAAATTAGTTGTACCAGGTATCTAATCTTGTCATTGGAGATGGCAGAAGATGGGAAGTTCCGAATTGAAAAGTTCGATGGTACAGATTTCAGTTGGTGGAGAATGCAAATTGAAGATTTGCTGGTTCAGAAAGATGTGGACGTGGTATTGGGTGACAAGCCAGATTAGATGTCAGCTGCAGATTGGGCAGGTTTAGATCGGAAAGCAGTGTCCGTGATCCGACTCTCGTTGACCAAGAATGTTGCGTTCAACATTCTTAAGGAGACGAGAGCGAAAGGGATTATGGAAGCGCTGTCTAACATGTACGAGAAGCCATCTACGGCAAACAAAGTGTTCCTGATTAGAGAATTGGTGAACACAAGGATGAAAGAAGGCACTTCAATTACCGAGCATATCAACAAGTTGAACTCGATCTTAGCCAGACTTTTGTCAGTGGGCATTAAGTTTGATGATGAAGTTCAAGCTTTACTACTGTTATCGTCATTGCCTGACAGTTGGTCTGGAACTGTTACAGCAGTTACCAGTTCAGCGGGACCTGACCGATTCACTTTTGAGAAGATTCGTGATCTCGTTCTTGGCGAAGATGTCAGAAGAAGGAGTTCTGGTGAGTCTTCTGGAGAATCACTAAATATCGTCAGAGGTAGAAGAAATAACAGATATAGTGGGAGCAAGAACAGACGAAGGAGTCAATTGAAGACTCGAGATAGCTCAGGCGTAACATGCTGGAAGTGCAAGGAGGTGGGGCATTTTAGGAATCAATGCCCGAAAAAGGATAAACAAGTGAACATTGCTGAAGGCTCCGCGAGCGACGAGGATTTGTTTATCTGTTGTGCGGAGTGCAATGTGGATTCCTGGGTCATGGATTCAGGTGCTTCATTTCATGCTACCCACAGTGGTGAAGCATTGCAGAATCTAGTTGATGGGGACTTTGGAAAGGTACGACTAGCAGACGACAGAGCTCTTGATGTTACGGGCATGGGTGACATAGTGCTGAAGACCTCAGTCGGTTTCTGGACTTTGAAGGATGTCAGAGTTGTTCCAGCCTTGAAGAAAAGTTTGATTTCTGTTAGGCAATTGGACGAACAAGGACACGAAGTGAAGTTCAGCAACGGGAAATAGAAGGTCGTGAAGGGAAATCTTGTCAGGCCCGCGGAAGGAAGAGTGGGTCGCTGTACATAGTCGAGTTACCGTCTGAGGGAGTGACCGTCCCAGTTCAGAAAAGAAACAAAGTCTGGTTCACAGAGTCTCGTGGGCAGAAGAAGGTTGTCTTTGCAAGAGAGGAACCTAGAGCCAGGTCAGACTCAGGTTGGACGAGCGAGGAAAGGTTCAAGGAGGGCAGTGAGAGGTATCTGTGGCAGTGGGAGCACAGGTGGTGCTTCAGCCAAGGTTCCAAAGAAACAATGGGTCCGGAGAACCAGTATTCCAGCTGTTGAAACATCTCCATTCGATTTCTTGCTGACTATGGAGATTGTTTGTTCTCAGGGTGTTCCAGGATCCAGCAGTTCGTGTGTGCAGTGGGAGCCGGTAGGGACCGAGGACGAGTCAGGGGCAGTTCAAGCCATGACTGATGGGTTGAAACTCAGGAGAGTTTCAACAGAGTCTTCTCGATGATCAAGAAGGCTGGTGGCAACTAGAGGTGGTGGAATTTTGAGTTCCATTGTCAGATTACAGAAGTACATGTGCACAGTTGAAGCGCAGGTAAACATTGTTCCATGGCTTCAAGTGGGAGATTGTTGAGTGTGAAGCCAGGAAGATAGGTGGAAGCTAACAGGAAATTGGCAGGAAACTACCTAAAAGCTTCTAACTTCCCTAATCATTGTGCTCTCCTAATTATTCTCTATTTAAGAGATACTAATGTGCTTGTAATTGTGGTGCAACAACAAATAATAAAATCCTCCTAGTTGCCCCGTGTGGAGTAGGTTGCAGTTGGCGACCGAACCACGTTAAATCCTGTGTCATTTATTTTTCTGCAGTTGATTCGTGATTGTGTGTTGTTTCGCGTGCGTTTATTCCCAACACATGTTACTCATTATAGTTAACTTTTAAAGGTAAAATACTTAAACTACCCTTCAAATAAGCCACTTTTCTCCACCTTATATTCTCATTCATGGCGACCACCCTAAAAAAATGTAAGAGTATTTTTGGAAAGTTAACATTACTTTTCCCGTCCTTAAATATGCTTCAAATTCAAAAGAGACACTCAAAACTAGGTACAGACTAGAGAGGGTTACACTCGGGCAGCAAATCATATTTCATTTTTTCAACAAATAGGGAGTGTAAGACACAATAAAATTTGGCAGGTGTGAACGTCTTGGTCAAATTCGGTACGAGTAAAACTCAATCATTTTCTAACCATTGGCCTGAGTCTACATGTGCTCAAAAACAAGTACCCCACCATCATAACTTAAATTCATGATTTGTGAGAGAAAAAACTTATTCCGTTTTTTTTGAAAATAAAGGTTGAGAAATAGATGAAATTTGTATTAAATAGTATTAAAATATTTCTCTGTTCCTTTAAACCATTCTCATTTTGATTTTAGGCCAAAATAAGGGAAGTCTAATTTTGGTTGACTTTTAATTTTGCCTCTGATGTGATGAGTAAAAATAAGAAGTGATAGTTTGGTTATTAGTGAAAAAGTATGATGTGATAGGTAGAATAGGAAAAAAGTAGGGATAGAAGTAGTGTTTTAATAGAAAATGGAAGTGTTCTAGGAAATTGAAAAAAAAATGAAAGTGGAAGGGGTTTATGGAACAGATGGAGTATGTCTTTTCGTAATATAGTACTTAAAACTTTTTTATTCCTTGAATAGTACTTGAACAATATCTACTGGTGAAAACAATGTACAGTGACATTGGACATTTACTTGAACAATCTCCCGTCTATATTGAATAATGACACTACATTGGAAAACTAAAATATATTAATCTCAAGGAAGAATATTTGGTAACAAAATTTATGAGGAGAATTAAGTAACTTGTACACTAAGAGTTTTACCCCAAATTGTATCACATGTATGTATCGATATTTTGATGATTCACACTCAGACAAAATATTAGTGTAAAATTTTCGATCAAGTATTTTATGCTAGTATGAACTATCGAACTATCAGTGTATAACTTGGGGTATAATCTTTGGTATTCACTTAGGTATAACATGGTTGTTACTCTAGCACAGTTGTTATGATTAACAATTATGTTAGATGTACCCCAAATATTGTACATCAAAATATACCCTGAATATTTATACTTACATTTTGATGGTTTGAATTAACACAAAATATCAGTGTAATTGCAAAATTTTACATTGATATTTTGTGTTAATGTAAGTCAGCAATCTCACACTTATATTAATAGAAAATGTAGGTGTTTGTGATACGTGTTGGATACAATCTTTGGGGTACACACAATATATTTATCAAAAAACAAATATTACACTCGGGTATAGTTTTTTTCTTGAGTATTAAATTTCCGTTTGAAAAATGTAAAATTTGTCTCGTTTTTGTAAAGTTCTAAAAAAATTATTTTTTAAAAAATTGTGTTTAACTCGTGTCATGCACGGAGTAGTGAAACAAAATTATTTACAATTCTACAATGTGGAATATTTAAATAACATGACTTTTTCTGGGGCATATCTTTTAATAGTTAAATATAAATGATCTAGATTTACTAATTTTTTACAAATCTATAATTCTTCTCCCCTTCATAAATTAAAAAAAAATACAAATAACATTTGTGTCAAAGATCTTATGATCCAATGGCACTCTTTCGAATAAGAGGTCACAAGCTCAAACCCTTGTGGAAGCAATAACTCTCGGTGTCTCAATACGTTGAGAAAGTATATATGTTCCGATACAATAATTATAATAGATTATAAGTGCTAATGTTTATTTATTCTTTAAAATTTTTATTTTTCATGTTTTGAAACAAGATAAAATGCTCAAATTAATAACATCAACAATAATTAAAAAAACAAGAATATTAATAAAAACAACAAACATTTTGTAATAATAATACTCTCTCTGCCCCAAAAAATACTACAGTTACTATTTCGGCATCTCGATAACTTTTATTTGTTTACTTGTTTTGGTTGACTATTTGATAAAATAAAATATTTTTGTTGTATCTTGTTTTGTAAAACTTTTGATTTACTTTTGAACGGTGTAACTTTTACCTTTCATTTCTCTATTAATTTGTAAATAAAATAATTTTAAAAGAAATGATATTTTACACATTATTCGAAATGTAAACAATTTGATACGGAGGTGTATAATAGTAATGATAATAATACTAATAATTTAAATCACATCAAATCAATTCACATCATCAAATTCATCAATATCACATAAGATTAATTCATAACATACCATATCAAACCTATATAAAATTTAGATCAAATTCAATAAATTCTAACAAAGAGAATATGAGCTCAGTATAAAAATATTTTTTTAGACAAGTGTTTTTGGCTGGTTTTGTGCCAAGCCAACTCTAGTGTATCATCGTTCTCTTAACTTTGCAGACCTTTGGGGCACTACAACAATATTATAATCATTCACTTCTATTTTTTTAATATTAATAACTCTATTACAAATAGATTCTATTATTTATGAGCCCTGTTCTATGGCCACTGGAATCTAGTGGCCACGGAAGGCACTGCCTCCCTACGGGTGCTCCGTTCATCAAATTGATAATTCCTACCCCCCTAACCCCCCCGATAAACCCTCCCGCCAAGTCCCGACCCAAACTACTCCACCTACGTCAATTGCACCTCGTAAGTATAAAGTCAAAATTTTTGACTTTAAAGTCAATTATACTTACGAGGTGCAATTGATGTAGTTGGGGTGATTAGTTTGGGTCGAGACTTGGCGGGGGGTTTACCGGGGGGGTTAGGGGGGAGGGGGTAGGAATCACCAATTTCATGAACGGAACACCGTAGGGGGCAGTGGCTTCCATAACCACTGAATTCCAGTGGCCATAGAATCGGGCTCATTATTTATTCATTCTTAACTTATTGGAAGATTCGATAGCTATGATAGGATACCGCTGCACTACAAGGTGTTTGACAATCATTCTGTTCTGTAAAACTAACATTTTACATATTTAAATAATACTACCTCCGTCCTAAAAAGATTTACACGTTTTGACTAAATTTGAAATTAAGGAAGAGATAATTTTGTGTTGACTTTCCAAAAATACCCTTGATGTGATGAGTAAAAAAGTAGGATGATTATTAGAAAAAAGGTATGATGTGATAGGTAGGGTTTGAAAAAGTAAGAGGTAAAAGTGGTTTTTTAATAAAAATGGGTAGGAGATTGTGCGACGCAATCTTTTTGGAAGGTGTAAATCTTTTTGGGACAGAGAGAGTAAATTTTATTGTTTTAGTTCTTTTCTTATTGTGTAAAAATCAAATTGCAAAGTGTTTCATAAGAGTTTTACCATATTGATGGTAATCCTAGTCTGAGTTCTAAAAATAGCAATTGGTGAGTCAAATTTGAGTTGCACGAATTGAATTTATTAGGAAGTGCTATATTCTTATAGAGTTATCAAATCAAATTGACGTTAGAACCATGTAAGAACTTGTTGTTTTAGTATGCGCTAGATGTTCACATAAATTTGTGATAGAAGAGCTGAGTTCAAGGATTTACATTTTTTCGTTACTAAATAATTTTTAGCATTATTATTTACGTAATTAAACTATATCTTTTTTGTTTGTCTACAATTGTTACAATATATAGTTAATTAATTTTTTAATTTCTAAGTTTTTAATGTAATTTTTAGATATATAAATGTTACTCCGTATGCAAATATACAAATAAATTATATTAAAAATTATTAAATTCAATATTAAAAAATATGGAGTATTCAAAAGGGAAATATGGAGTATGAAGTTTAACGAATAATGGACGGAATATTATTCTTTAGGGAGGGAAATGTCAAATTTCTAGGTCAATATTCAACACTAAGGACCACTTCACTATGACTACTCCACTACGAAGCATGCTACGGAGTATTTCGTTCTTCCCAAAAAAAAACTCTTAATTTTTTTGTAGGTTTAAGAAAAATATTGAAAACTAAAAAATATAGGGTAAAAATTGATTAAAAAGAGAAATAAATTTTCTTAACAACAAAATTCTTTATTTTAAAACGAGAGGAAACTAATTTTAGGAACTAACAAAAAAGTGAGAAGATTTTTATGAGAGAGAATGAATAATACTTTCAAGACAAAAGACTACGGTTCTGTCCCGTTTGCCTGATCTTATTGATGTAAATATGATTTTTTAAACTTCTAGTCTGATTTAATTGGATCTAAACTGGTCTAATCTGGTCTGGATGAATTTGATTAGATTTGATTTGATCGGATATAATTTGATCTTATTAGATCTGATATGATTTAATTTGATCCAATCTGATTGGACATGATTAGATCCATTCTAACTTAATATGGCCTGGTTTGAATAAATGTTATTTGATCTGATAAAAAAAGTTAAAATTATTATAATACTTTTATTATTATTATTATTATTACTAATAATAATAATAATATTATTATTATTAGACATTTATGTGTACTATGAAATGAAAAAAGATAATCGAGTAATATACTAAGGATATATATGTGTGTGTGTGTGTGTGTGTGTGATTGACTCTAATGAGATGACATGCTTCGGTGAGATGACGTCAAGCTCACCACACTACAAAGCTCACCATTGGTAAATGCAAAGCTCACCTGGAAATAAAGTAAAGTTCACCACTTTGTACACCAAAACTCATCTTTTTTTAATTTTGAAAATTAAAAAAATAATTAAAAAATAAACTAAAAAACCCGGCCAACCACTGGTCAGCAACGGCGGCTGGTGATCGGCGACCGGCAGAGCAATGGCCAGGGACCGGCGGAGCGGCGGCGGTGGCCGGCGAATAGCGGTGGCAGAGCACGGAGGCGACCGACGGTGCGGTGGCGGAGCACGGAGGCGACCGACGGTGCGGTGGTGGAGCAGCGGCGACACGACGACGGTCAAAGGTGGCGGTCAACGGTCAAAATCATGTCAGCACCCCTTCCTTTTATTTTATTTTTTTTAAAAAAAATTAAAATGTTAAAAAATAAGGTGAGTTTTGCCTTAAAGTTTGGTGAGCTTTGTAATTGTCTGGTAAGCTTTGCAGTTGCCAGTGGTGAGCTTTACGTCATCTGACCGTAGCATGTCATCTCACTGTAAGGTGTCATCTGATTGGAGTCAATCCATACACACCCACACACACACACATATATATAATTTTTAAACTTTTTTAATTTTTGTGAAGACAATATATGTACTTTCTTCGTCCAACAATAAATTTCCCAGTTACTATTACAATCTTACGGGCTCTTGAGAGAACTTATGTTTGTTTACATAATTTCATAAGTCGTTTGATAAGATAAAATATTTCTCTCACATTTTGTTTTGTAGAACTTTTGATCTAGTTTTGAACTTTTGAGAAATTTAATGTTGAACGAAGGAAATAGTATTTTTAAATTATTTATCTCTGTGTGTGGGGGCGCCCGGGGTGGATGTTCCACCTTTTTTTTAAATTATTTCATCTCTCTGTTTTTTTGTATGGGTGGGTTGACCCGTAATTACACTTCAATACAAACCAATATGATATTAAAATGCAAACGAACCCAAAATATAGAACATACACATAAGATATTTGGATTAACCGACTTTCAAGAGGTTAATCCACTCCCCCAGGGGTGTTGGCGTCACCTGGTTTCTGGGAATGGAACACATTCTAGAGGGCGCCCATTGCGCCAAAGGTGAAACTAGGTGTATGGCGGGCTCTCCAGACATTTTGCCGATTATTGTTGCTTTGAATTCAAAGTGTTTAGATATGGAGAATGTGTGTTGTGGGTCTGGAAGTGAAGATGCGGATCATTTATTTTTGCATTGCTGAAGAATAATTAATTTCCAATGATAATCAACGTGTTCATACCAGAGTTTATATAGTAGGGATTTTTCCTAGTTATGTTAGGAAACTAAGTTAATGTAGCCTATACAAGTATGGTAGCTATTATATACATATAATATTAAATATAGAAAGAATATATTTAACATGCTCCCAACGGCACTGGTGAGGAACGCCGAACTCCCAAGCCGTCTTGAAATTTTGAGAAGATGATGGATGGGAGTCCCTTCGTGAATATATATGTATAGTGTAGTGACGAAGGGACATGAAGAACTCGTACCTGTCCGAGAGCCACCCTATCTTGAACGAAGTGTATGTCAACCTCGATGTGCTTCGTGCGTTGATGCTTAACCGGATTTGCAGAGAGATAGACATCACTGACATTATCACAAAACACAAGTGTGGGACGACTGAGAGGCTACTGGAGCTCTAGAAGAAGGTTGTGTATCCAACTAACTTCGGAAACGGCATTCGTTACTGCTCTATATTCTACCTTGGCGCTAGATCTTGACGTGGTGAGTTGGCGCTTAGATGACCAGGAAATGAGATTGTCGCCAAGGAATATACAATATCCAGACGTGGACCAGCAAGTGCCAGGGCAGCCGGCCCAATCAACATCTGAGTAGGCCCATTTGTAGTTCGTTTGCGACGGAGATATGGAGATGCCGTGTGAGGGTGTGCTGTGGAGGTACCATAGGACCCGTTTCATGGTTGTGACGTGTGGTGTGCGTGGGTCATGGAGAAAGAGACAATGTTGTTAGACTGCATAGGTAATATCAGGGCGAGTGAAAGTAAGGTACTGCAGTGCTCCCATAATCGAACGGTACACGGAGGGGTTCGACGCGAGAGATCCTCCTAAGCCCGACAGCTTCCCTCGTGTATCAACTGGGGTGGACACTTGTTTGCATGAGAGCATGCCGCACGCTCTAGAATATCATAAAGAAACTGAGTCTGTGTGAGAAACAAGCCATGAGAGGTGCGCCGAACATTGATCCCCTAAATTAGTGAAGATCCCCTGTGTTTGTCATAGCGAACTCTCCCTTCAAACGCTGTATGATCTTCTGAAGGAGACCCTGTGAGGAAGCTGTGAGAATGATATCATCCATATATAGAACTAGAAAGGCCATCTGAGACCCCTGACCAAAAGTGAACAAGGAGGTTTCGCTCTTGCAGCCGCGGAAGCCAAGGGAGAGAAAGAAGCCAATGAATCGCTGATACCAAGACCGCGGTGCTTGTTTCAGCCTGTAAAGCACCTTGTTCAATTTGCAGACATAGTGAGGTCGAGCCGGATCTTGAAAACCATATTGTTGGGCCGTGTAGAAAGTTTTAGTGAGAGCTCCATGTAGAAAAGCATTCTTGACACCCAGTTGGTGAATCGGGCACCCGCGAGACACGGCCAGACTGAGTATGATACGAATAGTCAATGCCATGACGCTGATTGAAACTTCGGACAACCCATCGAGCTTTGTATCTGGATAGTTCATGTAACACCCCAATTCGTATAACCCGGAATTACACGAATTAAGGTGAAACGAGGGTTAATTAAAAATTTCGCTTGACATTTGAAAATGACAATTACTTATAAATATCAAATTTACAGAATCTGGATCGCGACCCATTTAAAAAATATTTTAAGAGTAATGCGGAAGTACAATAATAATCAAATCATGACACATTTAAAAATCTGATGATCAACATTTGCCTGCCATCCTTGCATCTCCTCTGACTCAATGCCCTCCGGGAGTGGTTCCATCATTGTCCTCTTGTTACCTACGTGTAGTCAACGAAAAATACAAACTACACGCTCCGCGAAACCGCTGAGTGGTACCACGCTAGAATTGTAGAACAATTCATAGACATATAAATATACATATATATACGTCCACAAAATGTATAATAATATTCATGATATGGCACATTATATCACATGTTCAATTTGATGATTTATGATGATGGATATTTAATGATGATTACCTGATGGTATATTTAATCAATATAATTATTTTTGATGATGATTACATGACACCTATGTAATCAATATAATTGTTCTTGATGATGATTACATGACACCTATGTAATCAATGTACTTGATGATGATAACATGATTTCACATTTAATCAATTTGATTGTTCTTGATGATGATTACATGACACCTATGTAATCAATGTACTTGATGATGATAACATGAT